ACTAAGGTAACGTACGGTAATATTAACGAATAATATACCTACTTACTTACTTTTTAGTTTTTTTTTTTTTTTGTGGGTGACAAGGACAGACACTCCTTAGGAGCGGAATCTTAAATACTAGTAAGAACTGTTTTCTAGGCAGTCTCTTTGCTGTTTGAAATTACGTAATGAATAAAGTCCATTATTTTAATAAGATCTAATTTTTTCTAGCTTTATTCAGATATAATTGATGCATAACACTGTGTAAGTCTAAAGTATACAACGTAATGATTTAATCTATTTTGTGAAATGATTACAGTAATAAGGCTAGTTAACACCGCCATCATCTCATACAATTACCATTTTTTAAGGTGAGAATAATCAAATCTAATTTTTATATTTTTTCCTACAAAATATTTAGGAGAAATAGATGGAGAGAGATATGAGACTATGACCGACAAAGTACATGACATTGTGATAAGCTAACCCGAAACCCTACAGAATACAGGGCATCTGGGAAGCGAAGTTTTAACATTCACAAAATGCCTATGCTTTTTCTAAAAAGCACATTTCTTATTTCTTGTTTTCTTTTCATGTTCTCATTGCCACTACAAGGTAAGGCCCAAGAGGAAGAAATCCATCCCCAGCTTTTCTAACAATAAAAATTTATCAAAGAAGGTAGGAGTGAATCTGAGAAGAACAGCTCAATGATATTTCTGGCATTGTAATTTTACCTTCATCATCATCGGTCCCCCTTCAACACCACCACTGTGCCCTGCCCACCTCTTTTTAAATCAGTGGTTCCCTTGCCTCCCACAATTATTCTTACAGCCCTGCTGAGTAATTTTCTTCAGCCTACCTGGCATAACAACAAAGCTCAATAGCAGGAAGGAATGCCACTTGAAGGCAGGTCAGACAATGATGTCATTAGCAGATCAAGGAGAAGTGTTCTTTCAGAAAGACCCACAGAGCAAGAGATGGGCCGATTTCCTGGGTCATGACATTACCCTGAAACGACAATCACTAGGGCATGAATATCTAAATCAAAATGTCTTCTCCAAATGAATAAAATCATGTATAAATATCACCCTTTCCTGTGAAAGTTAAAAGTTTTACATAGACATTTTAGTTAGAAACAAATTTAAAACCACTTTGGGGAAAGAATTCCTCCATCCCACACTAAGCAAGGTACAGGGTGTGTATTTTTGTACATCTCTGCCAAATCAGTTTCTTAAGGAAGGAAATGCAGGAAAATGCAAAATGCAGGAAATAAGGTCAACCCACAGAGCACTGAATGCCACATGTGTTAGGTGCTGTGGATGCAAAAGGCAATTAAACATAGTCCTCACTCAACAAAGAGTAAACTAGTTGAGGAGGTTGTCAACGGACAGTTTTAATCTTACACAGGACAACTTTGAGTTTATAGCTTCAGCCACAAGTCCAGCAAAGAGACAAATGAGATAGTCTTGTTCTACCTTCCCAAGAAAGACAAAAACCAGTTGACTTAAAGTCCGAGACTCAAATTCATGACTGCAGAGGGACTAGAAACCGATGAGACACAGCTTTCAAAGCATGGTCTTTAACAGGTACCACAAGCCATATGATCAGAAGTATCTCCAGGTATGAATAAGTGTATTTCACTTAGATTGTTGTGTTTTCAATTCAAGGAAGGGATCCAATCACAGTTGAGAAGTCTCTTGTGCCATGTTGCAAAAGCACTGATCACTTTTACTCTTTTTAATGTATGATTTTCCATTTTTAAATAACTACTACAGTACGACATACTGAGTTTAGAAGTACTCATTATCAAGTAAATAGCAAATGTTAATAAAAATAAAACCTTAGTACAAGACCTCTCACATATGCCTAAAGGTGAAAAAAATTTTTAAATTAAAATAATTAAATAAATTAACTTAGGTGCTCTTACGTCTCTTCAAATCATTTAACGCCCAGGTGACATCAGTGGAACATTACCAAAAAAACAAAAACATAATTGAGGTGACAAACATCAAAGTATTTTTCATTATCAGGTCAAACAACATGAATTAAAAGTTACCATTCTAGTCTAAAATCACTTCTAAGCTTACTCGAATTCCTTCAGGACAGAAGCCACATCTTATTCATCTGTATATCCTCAGGACCTAGTCACTAGATACCACAGTGGATAACTTCTCTAATGTACATGGAGGAGAAAAAACATTCAGGGCCTGATTCTCATCCATATTCACTTCCAGCAATTCAAAAGCTGAAAATATTGATAATTTGCTGTTGCTAAGGCACTTCAATAAATTAAGGCAGACATCCCCGGAAAAAAGTCTCAGTACTCAGGCTACAGATATCTACTCCCCAAAGCTCCAATTGGCCCAATTCCCATCTCCAAAATAATCAGTTGCACAAAGTAGGTTTAGTTCCAAAACTGTGTGGACTTTGTTCCTCCACCAGCACCTGGGTTCAGCATGATTCCTGACCTCTACCTCAAACCAGAGATTTCAAACACTAAGAACCTCACTTAACAAGAAAGTAATGTCATAAGTCAAAGCCAGGGGAAACTGAGAAGCTAGGGCTAGCAGAAACAGTACAGAGAAATGATTCTGATGCCCTTAAAAATGTTCCTAAACATCTAAAATACTAAAACAACTTTTTTTAAAGGAAAATTTAAATAAACTTTCTCAGATTAAAAGTGTTCGTATTATTGAAGCAAAAGATGGTTTCCAGAAAGCTAAATGGCCTTACTATCTAGTTAAAATGAGCTTTTTTCTTTCTGATAGAGCATACTTTTCTCTCTGTTGTAGGATTTGGCTCTGAAAACCTGGCTCATAACCTGGGAGATCCAAAAACTAATTATTATGTTTAAAAAAAGACATGTCTTAAACTGACCTAGTTTGGAAGCCTGGATGCCTTTAAATTGCCAATGAACGGAAACCATTCATGAGAATGGGCCTTTTGAATGCTGAGAATGTTCTTCGGGGCTCGGCACAAAGATATTTGGCATAGATGACTGTAAATATTTGTAAAACTCTGAGTAAATGGACAGTGTTTGACCACACTCAAACCTCACTTCCAGCACAGTACTGCAGAAGCAAGTTATCTAGGGTGATTGGTTTTTTTTTGGGGGGGGGGGAGGTGAGTTTTTTTTCTTTTTGTTTTAAATAAAAAGCCAAGCAATATGATTCTGCTGTTCGACATCTTCTTAACATTTCCTCTACCATGAATTTCTTTATTCAAGACAGTTCCAAGTAGTCAGAGGCTACTTTTGAAATCATTTGTTTTTTCTTTCCCACTTTATTAACTTCATGCCCACCACAAAGAATAAAATCCCAGTCACAGGTGTGCAAAAGGCAGGAGTTTCTGAAAATGTGGGCGTGGATTTCCTAATACAGTTATCTCCACGTGGCCTTGTGGCTCTACTATAGATATCTTTCTTTTTCTCTCCCTCTCTCGTCCACTAGGTAGCTTCAGAAATACTTAAGGGAATATGAAAACAAATATATGTATATATATGCATGACTGGGACATTATGCTGTACACCAGAAATTGACATATTATAACTGACCATACATCAACTAAAAAAAAAAGAAGAAGAATGAAACCTTGGTTAAAAAAAAGGGAAGAAAGAAAGACTGACAGACAGACTTAAGGGACTGCTATCCATGGAAAGGACTTCGGTTGAGAAGGCTGGACAGAGTAAGGAGACAAGGGATCAAAAGAGGAATAAGATGTGAAAGGGACTGGAGACTAAAAGACTCACCTTAGTGAAAGCTGCAGCAGCCAGATACTTTAATTAGCCAGCAACTCAATGAAGACTGGCTGGATTCCTTCTGCCTCTTACCCACACCCTAAAAACTGAGTCATCTCAAAGTTCATTTCTTTTGCTTCTGGGCCCTAGACACCCCCAACTGGCTGCTTCAGATATGTTAGATACATTGTTCTTTCATTCATACCTGGCAATGTTCAAATAAACATCCAGAAATACCAAATTAGAAGAACACTGCTAGTCCTACTGAAATCCCAGCTAATAATATAAGATACTTGCAGCAGAAAGAAATAAGAAAGTAAGACTATAGTGCAAGCATGAAGGCAGAAAACATTTTCCCAGAAAGGGGAATTAATTTCTGAGAAATCCAAACATGAGAAGTATATGCATCAGGAATAGATTTACAGCAGAATCCCTGAAACTAATAAGAAAAACAAAAGATACCCTGGAAGGAGTAAGCTAAAGATACCTCTTCTCTGCTGATACAGAAATCAGTTTCATTTTAACTTAAACTAGAGAATAGCAGTATAGGATCAAAGTTTCACAGTTTCATCAGCAATTACACAACAAAATAATCAGCGTAATACATGGCCAAGATCTCACGGATAATATAACATCTTATCCATATCTCTATATGTCGCTATTGCTCCAAATAACAGAAGGTAAACAGCTGAGATTATGCCAACTCTGGTCTCCGCTGAAGACATTGGGAGGTTTGTCCTAATCCTGAAATTTACAATATACACCGTTTTGCTAGAAATTAAGCTAGTTTCTTTTTACCTTTACAAAGACATCTATTTTTAAAAGTTAACAGGTGTTTTAGGCATTCAGAATGAATTCAGTTCCATATGGATTAAGCACTGGAGGTAGAAAATAAAGCTAAAAACCACGGTATCAGAGTGAGTCTCCCGTCCTTTTTTTTCTTTTCTTAGCCCCACACCACTGCTGTCTCGCAATGCCTGCAGCGTTTAAAAAGCTTGCTAAACCTACCTGGCAGGAGAGCTACGTTCCACCCGGCCGCCGGGCTTCTCAGCAGCCTGCCTCGCGCGCACCGTCCGCCAGGGCTGCTCGCACCCCCGGGAGGAGGAGCTGTTCCATTCTCTCCCCCTTCCTCCGTGCTCTGCGGCTGACAGCTTTGCACTCTGCAGGACAGCAACAGGGTTCGGGCTCCCAGACCTATGGGGCCGGAGGAGGAGGAGGAGTACCTATAATCGCCTCCTGCCTTGGGACGCAGCTGCGATGCCCGGGAACCTTGCAGAGCGTGGGGCGCCGCACGCCAGCAGCCGCTCGTTTATTTATACAGGAAGCTCAGGCGGGGCACTTCCTACTTCCCATCTGGGTCGCACTTCAGCTGCAGGTGATGGTCTTAACCCTGTCTGAGCCCGGCTGCCAGCGCAGTCCAGCCCTCCTGCACTCGCTCCACGTCTCAGGACCTCTCTCTTGTCCTTCTGGGACGGCTGCCGCAGAAATCCGGAGCGGGGTGGCCAGCAGCAGCCCCTAGTGTCCTTCATCCTGCCTAGCCCGGGACACTTCACCTACCGGCCTTCAGAGCTTGCTGCTTCTCTGCGCGTGTCCTCCTAGGACACCTGGCTCCCTCCTTCACAGCTCTTTAAACCTCTTGCTTCTACTTCTAACAATCCAGACCTGCCTTCCCACCTTGCTAGGAAACTGTTCTTGCAAAAACACTTCCCATGCACACCTCATCCAGAACACCTTGTACCGGATTTGTCCTTTTGCGTCTAATGATAAAATTAGAACGCAGGCGAATCAAATCAGGACTGGCTTAGCTTACTTCACACCTTTATGAAACAATGATTTTGCTTGAAGTGCTTTGTCAACAAGTTATGCGGGGAACTGCTTAGAAACCTAACAGGTTGTAGTCCAGTTAAAGAAAATGTAACAAAGTAATCATCCAGAAGCTGTGGGGTACCACCATGTGCCTTCCTCACTCCAAAACCTGGACACTTAGTGTCTGTGTGATGTTTACAACACATTACATACCTACTCACTCCTCACACCCACCCCCTCCCCCCATGGGTCACAGTCACAATCCCAAATCTGTTCAAAGCTGCAATTTAGACACGTGGCTGTTGCTCTGACCGGGGAATTTTCTGTGCTCACTCCGCCACTTCACTCTGCTTTTGCAACCACGGTCAAGAATGTGCTTCCTGAAATGAAGGGACTCACAGGCCTTTGTGGAAGGGATCTGAGCATGCCAGTGAAGTATCAGCAGTAGGCACCGTTCCAAAGGACACAAGCAAACGGCTTCTCAGCTCGCCATGTTGAAAAAACCTCAAGGTCAAAGCCAAGTGCTGAAGAACACAGTGCATCTCTATGGACGATCATAGGACAGGCAGGAAGACCATTCCACGAGTGGGAGAGAAAGGGAAGGAAAGGGAGATAAGATGGTAAGAGAACACACAGTGGGGACCCCAAATAATAGAACTGAAGGCTCTTTGAGCTTGAAAAGTCCTTCTAGCTAGTTTAGTCCAAACACCTAATTTCAGAAATGAAGAAACAACTGTCCAGGGAGATTTAAGTGGCTTGCTTGACCAGCTAGGGGCAAAGCTGGAACCAGACCTAAATCTGTGTTAGATGAAAAAGGTTTATGTTAATGAAAACCATCCCATGGATGCCTAACTTCAAATTTAGCAGAAGCTTAGGTTCTGGGATAATCAATCTCAAGGTATTTTCTCAGTGTAGTGACTATTGTTGATGGACAGGAATCAGGAAAGATAAAGAAAGCACCTTCTAAGAGGTTAATTTTTTCAATATAAAACCTTGGTGCCTTAAACCAAAGTTCAACACAGAGTCTACTTTTTAAATTACCATGCAATTAAATTATAATCTCTTATAATCTCTTGTCAACAGGATAAGGGGAGAAACTAATATGAATGAAAACGTGGGTTAAGCAATAATCATGCTGCTGCAAATAGTAAATGGGAAGAAAAATTATATTGTATAATTAAATAATATTGGCATTAATTATTTTCAACCATGCAAGTTTATAAAAACTGCAAATTTTAATAAGACTAAATAAACATGTAGAACGCGGTAGTATTATGTGAACAACTCTTTCAGATCTGTGATAAAAATAAAATTTAACCAAGGAGGTTAAAGACCTGTACACTGAAACCATAAGACACTGATGAAAGAAACTGAAGAAGACACAAATAAATGGAAAAACATTCCATGCTCATGGGTTAGAAGAATTAATATTCTTAGAATGTCCATGCTACCCAAAGCAATCTACAGATTCGATGCAATTCTATCAAAATTTCAATGGCATTTTTCACAGAAATAGAACGATCCTAAAATTTTTACGGAACCACAAAAGACCCCAGATGGACAAAGCACTCTTGAGAAAGAACAAAGCTGGAGGAATCACACTTCCTGATTTCAAACTGTATTACAAAGCTGTCTTAATCAAAAATGAACACATTGAATCTGACTATACTTCAATTTTTTTAAATAATAATAAAATAAAACATGTAAGTTGCATATTTTAAAAAATACTCTTTCAGATCTGCCTGATGAATTCACAGTGAGCATTCATTTTCACAAGCATGTATTGATCTCCTCCAGACAAGTGTCTAGATGCTGAGAAGACAGACATAAGTTAGACACGGCCCCTGTCCTCAAAGAGCTCTCAGTCCAGGGAAGGAGTCAGACAAGCAAGTAAATTATCAGGGTACTATAATGTGTACATATGTGATACAAGAGACAAACACAGGACCACAGAGAAAAAATTAATTAAATGAAGGGGGTTGGTGAAAAGAACCATGGGAGGCTTCCCTGAGAAAGTAACTTTAAGCTGAGGTTTCAAGTAGCCAAGTGGGGAAGGTGGAGAAAGGTGAACCAGTCAAAGGCAACAGCCAGAGCAAATGCCTAGAGATGTCAGATTTTAGGTGACACTTTTCACGTTCAGACAGAGCAATAAAAGAATGAGGGCCTGGACTAATTTAGAGGCAACGGGCATGGAAAGGAAATGAACAAATGGAGAGAGATTTCAGAAACAGAACTGATGGGACCTGATATCTGATTGGATGTAGAGGATGAAGGAGAGAGAACTGTTCAAGCTGCTGGCACCACTAACTCAGAATGAGAATAAAGGAGAAGTAGCCATCAGGAAAATGATGATTCAATTTAAATCCTGCAGGATCCTAAGTGTCTCTGTGACACATAGAAGACTTGTCCAGAGAGATCTGGAGTAGAGGGTCTTTTAGGAATTGCCATCATTTAGGTGGTGTCTGTGGATGAGAATACAAAGAGGGAAGAAGCGGCTTTCCACCTAATACACACTCTTATCACCCACTCATTTTTATGTAACCTTAAACAAGTTATTTAACATACCCAAACTCATGCATAAAATAGGCATGATGATATTCATCTCATAGGTAGTTGTGAGGCTCAGTGAGAGGTTTGTAAAGTAGCTAGTCTGTGTCTGGTGGCACTATACCAGTCTTGAAGGTGGGCAGTGAATGGCACCTCCTGAAATTGTGCAGTACACAACCTGTTCAGCTGGACAGGTTCAACCTGGCCCGATACAGTCAATGTCATTCATCTTAGAAGGAAGGGAAAAGGAGAGAAAAAAGAGAAGATGATCAGAAAAGAGAATTCAAAGGAACACCAGTTTGGGTTTTGTTTTGTTTTTTTAAAGGTAGGTAAAAGAGGATACCTCATATAAGCCTAAGAAGGAACTGCTTCTTTTAGACTAGAAAAGTCAATGTAACATTTAATATCACAGACTGAGAAGTAAAATCCAGTCACTACAGTCTACAAAAATATTTTTCATCTTTCTGAGCAATGATAGTCTTGCTATTACAAATTGTTCACCAGAGATTGCAGTCATGTTGACCTTCATCACAATACAGAATTTCCTAATTGCAACTACAGACTATCCTAAAGAAAAGGAAAACAAAATCTTGACATTAATGGTTAAGTAATCCAAACCATAGGAATTGTATTAACTTGTAACATACCTAAACTCATATAAAAGCAAGACCAAAATAAATCTAAAGCATACTTATGAAGCCAAAAAATAAATATAGAAACCTAATTACTAGATATGTATAAGATACTTATGTAATACATATTATGTAATATGAAATATATTATATATATATGCACACACATATATATAACATGCATTGTAGTCCTACACAAGCAGGAAATCAACAAATGGAATTTCTTTTTTAAAAAATCATTATAATTAATATAAAGAAAAATCAACATTCATTCTGATGCTACTTAAATCACTCTTTTCTACCTTGGTATGTAAGTTGGTAACACATACCTTAGACTTGACATCTTAATTATATCCTGCACTAAGACATTTTTTAAAATGTTTCTAATGATTTGTTTAGTTTCAAGAAATCAAGTGAAAGAACACAAGTATTGGGAAACCACCTTCTCCAACAGGTGCAATTCTCTCTCCACAGGAAAAGATTTAAGGCAAAGGTCATGGTGTTCTGCCACTGACAATCTGGCCATTTCTCATTTCCAAACAGCTACTATTTCATTCACATTCTTCTGTTGTATCTAACAATGCTCATCTTATACATAAACTCAACATTTATTGAGGGTATTGAGTATAGACCTAAAAGTAACACACAATACAAAATGAGACTGAGAACATGACAAAAGACTACGATAGAAACTATGCCAGAGATTCCTTCGACGTGGCATGGTGGTCAAACCACACGGAAGGTCAAAATATGACCTAGAAATGGTCACCCAGCTACATCCAACTTGATAACAAAAGTTTTCAAAAAGCTGGAGGAGTGTCATTTTGGTTCTATTTCATACATGCAAGAGCATCTCAACATCTCACAGAGTGAGTCAAAACCAGCTGGGTCCCAGTAAGAAAAACTGCCATCACCACTGTTCCACACAAGAGCCCATCATGACTCGAGGCAGAGAGCTGAACCCTTAACATCCTACACATAACTCCACTAGCAAGCCAGGGTTATGGATAGATGAGAAAATGGAACTCAGCACTCTAGAAATTCACCTGACTAGAAGAAATGACTGCGTTAGCCCTGAATTAGAATTCTCCACCAGAGAGTCAGATGAAACAGTCTTGAGAATCCTTATGCTTGCAAACTTTGCATGAATCTTTCTACTAATATTATCTCCTCCAAATTCTTGCATATCAGACAAGCAATGAAAAAAAACCCCCAATGTTCCCATAAATTGTCATCCCAGCCAAAGTACCAACTGGTTTATAGAAAATGAGGACCCAGTCCTGTGCATCCATATATATTCCACATAGATAAAAGGACTCAGCTGAAATAAAAGTCAAACTATTTCTTGGCTTAAATCATGAGGAATTTCATTCTTGGCATTAAGAGTCCCATCTACAAGGACCACATTACCCATATGTGGGAATATTATAAATGCTGACTTTCCAGAGTG